ACGCACTGCAGAAGACATCCAACTGAAGGTATCCGCTATACCAAAAACAGTATCGGTATCCCGTTTTGACCACAAACGACGACAAGCACAGCTTTGTCATTTACCGCATCCCTGTGATTTCTCACCACTTTTTTTCCTCCATATTTTAGGATATCTTCATTGCAATTCGTCACTAGCTACATTACTGGTAATAGCGCCTTTTTTTCGTTTTCTTATCTTTCTACTAATTCTTGCAGGCATCTATAAAAAATTCAAGCGACGAACACCCTCGCCACGCCAACAACCAACTGTTTCATACATCCCCAGCGTATTATTTCCGTTCTCAGCCATACTTTCTATGGCTCAAGCCTGCAATGAATTTCACATTCGGAAAAATATCAAAATCATATGCAGGGACATCCACAACTGCTCTACCTTTAAAAATAAAGAAACTCCATTTAATCCTCTTCAGAACTTATTTTGCTCATCTATCAAGTTTCAAAACTCCACTATTGGGAAACTAGAAATTGATGTTATAAGCAACGCTTTCACTAGTAGGAAGATAATGCAAGGATACACCCGCATTACGAACCTCACCATCCATTCAACGCAAAGATGCGCCGAAACTGGAGACTGCCTATGGGGAACAGGGTGCGACGACATCCGCCAGGACACCTTTGTTACGGATCTAGCGGAAGCAGGAGGACTCTTCAAAGGATGTGATCTACCAGTAGAAGGATGTATACTATTTAGTCCAACATACAAACCCGAGTCAACAGAAGTCTATGAAGAAATCAAGTGTGGACAATGGTATCAGCAAGTAAACATTCAGATGAAAATTGACTATCACAACAATACTCACATAAACGAACTTGCTCTACAACCATACGAGAAATATGATTTACATGGAGTCACACTCCAAGTATCATCGATATCTTTACAGGTTACCACTCATTTCATTAACCAGCTATTCCTAGTATCCCAAAAGAAAAGTTTCATGATCCCGGAACAGAAGAAACCAGCAACTATTTGTGGAAACGCCCAATCGGCAGCATTTGAATTCAAGAAATGCTATATCAGGAAACCTTGTCTTTGCCTCGGGGCCGCAGCCCAACTCTCTTGTAGTTGCGAATCAGCATCTAACAGAAAATTGGAAGCTTTCAAGATACCAAAGAATTCTCCTAATTTTAGGGTTATGAACAAAGCCGAAAACAAAACAGTAACATCATTTATGGAAGAAACAACCATCAGTATGGAAAATCCAGATTACAACATGGAAAGGCTATACATAAACAAAAACCTTGTTTTTCGGACTTCCAAACTATATCGGGTTGCTATAAATGCCAAGACGGCGTGCAACTAAACAAAACTTGTGAAATAAAGGACGAACTGTTTGCCATTCTGCATTGCGAGATCTTCAGTAAATCACTGATTTGCTCAGACAAGAACCCTAGCACAACACTACAGTTTTTTTACAACCTACACAACGTAGAAGAAAATTGCACACTCACTTGTGGAAAAGCACCAAAACAGCAGATCAGGCTATGTGCAAGGTTACATTACATTTTCGACAATCCTTTGCTTTCAGGAAAAGACATAAAATATCACAATGGCACCTCTGGAATAGCCTGGGATCATCCGAACATTGGACCAATGATGGATATCCTCTAACTGGAAATGGATCGTACCAACAGTAGCCGTGATTGCAGCCGTAATCTACTCTGCTTGGACTTCAGCCGCCTTCCTACTACCAATTCTTGGACCAGCCATAATGGCCTTATGCTGTTTGAAACGTGCCAACAGCATCCCCCCGCCCGCAGTATCAGGAAATGCCTGATTCATTTCACCCTCCTTAACTCTCTTTCGACCTTGTGATTTACAGTATGCACCATTGTCGCAGCTGCGACAC